TGTAAGTGTGACTTGGAATGATCACAGGATGTCGTTAGAGCTGTGCGCTCAAAGGGAGTGAACTTACAATCGACCTACGTGACACCAAGATATATTAAGTATGAAGCTGGACTTAATACTGCTGACTTGTTTCGTGATACTCGCATCTTTTGACAACACTGAGAGTTGGCGACGACGTAGAAGGCGACGTGCCTGTGGTCCCTCTAACTGTCAAGTTAGTGGATGGAATGCCTGGGGTGCTTGTTCGGCACCGTGTGGCACGTCCGGTACTCAGACAAGAACACGTTATGTAACTGTTGGTCAGAGTTGTGGCGGATCGTGTCCCTACCATATGAGTGAATCCCAAGGCTGTAATAACCCAGGTTGTAACGGACATGGTTCTCCACTGACGTCATCGTGTAGCTGTGTAGATGAATGGTGGGATACGTGTTGTGATAAACGTAAGTTAGTATCGACACATCCCCTTTAGCTTTAGAGACACTGTGGTACGCACAAGTTATAATAACAATATTTCATTTTCATGCAGGCGGTGATCCAATGACATACGTGTAGGCGGCTCAGACTCAATAATAACAATAAGTGCTTGGAGCTGAAACATCACAAGTTGTTTTAAGCTCCATGACTAAGAACTACTAGTAGTTGCAAGGTGCGTCCGACACAACCCAACTAATAGTACTAGTAATTAAGGCTTTCCGATTCACACCTATTTTGGTGAAGTAAGAAAACTGATTGCGTCATGTGGCCGAATATTGCAGCTATCCTAAGGGGGATTGTTGTTTAGCGTCACAACCTTGATGCTGTCGTACTTTAAGAGATATGCCCTTCAAGTCAGAACAAACACATAGACACTATTTATATACGTAACTCTAGACCAATGTCCAAGTTAACTCAAGTGACAAGCTGACGTATTATTAACGGTCAGTAGAGCAGACTCGCATACAATATCAGAGCTTGAGCAGTGTAAAATTTGGTTGCTAGGCGACGATTCCACGTAGAGATCAACCAAGATTGTTCTGGGTTATGACGACCGGATTTAGTCGCACTACTGCGGACGTCGGTGTTCATAAATTGACTATCGAAGTGTATGCAAGACTGGTTTACATAAAATAAAATTTTATGTCGGCGTTCACAGCTTCATATTTGCAGCAATATACCGAAATGTGAATGACATACACCTGTTTGACTGTACACGTTGTCTAGTATTCACGATTAATTATGCACAGACTGATGTATACACATTCTTGTAAACACTCCCAACCATACTGGACTTGGAGTGAATTAACAATTGTTCACTGACATACTTACGCTCATATCTGGAGCATTGCGTTACAGAGAGGTCAGACGAGAGTGTCAGGGACATCTACGTTGCCTGCTTTTTATGTTTTTATAGACTTGAATGAGAGCGGGGCACCACTACGCCAGTTCTCTGTCGCTATTTGTGATTGAATGCAATTTGCTTTGAGTGGTTAGGGAGAATTTGTGTTTCTCTCTGTCCGAAGGTGATTCTGAAAACCAGCCTTATTGAAATATGACATATCCTTCATACGGATTGACAAGACGTTGACTTTTGGCTCACGCAATTATTCGAGATACAATGTTCAGTTCAAGATGGCCGAATGGTGGGCAGCTATTAATAGCTAGGATTAAGGTTAAAAAGTCGCCAGAATGAAGCATTTCTGCAATTCCGGAACTGAGTATGGCCGAGCATTGTTAGATTTCGATCCAATGTGCTACATACATTAAACATTATGGCATCACGATTCACATTTCGTTTTCAGCTCCACTGTCGACTTTGTCGAGCGGAGCTTATCATATGAGTGATTGTCTGTCGGCGTCCGTCGTCGTCGTCCGTTTTAAATATTAACTTTTTCGACTTCTTCTTGAAACTACACGCCTGAATGTTTTGATAGTTGGTGTGTATGTACCTTGGGTAGACCTCTCTTAGACTTGTTAATTTCATGGTGATCTCTTCAATTCTTTAATTTTGGTGAATATTTTTGTAATTTTTGGTAAAAAGTGATATTTTCGACTTTTTGTTAAAAACTGCAAGTCTGATTGCTTTGATATTATACATATAGGTACTGCTGTTTGTTAAATAATACAATAATTTTACAATAATACAATAAAATTAAATATTTTTTTTCGGAACAGGCACTTTACAAATATTGAACATATATTAAAGCGGGGGAGTCGTCACCTGAGCATGCGTCATATGGCCATAGCTTGTCATCGTTTACAAACAAGCGTCTACCCGTGAGCCTTTGCGTTTTTAGCTGTGTTGTTATGGGGACTCAATTGCCGAGCGTGAAATTGTTTTTCATGACGCCTATTTTAGAACCAAATTAAGACCTTTCACTTTTCTGCTAAATTAGAGTGACGTCAAAAACAAACAAACAAGAGTCTACGGTACTCAGCCTCGAATGCGTAGGGTTCTAACCCGAATTCCAGAAATCTCGTGGTTTTCGTGTCTAGAAACCCGCGGAGACTGTAACACGCTACACAAACACACCATCTTAATGAAACCTTAGATAATCAGACGATAACATGTCGCAGTGTATTTAAAAGTACCCGGATGATACGTTTATGTGTGCGTTGCTTATTAACTCAAATAATTACTTCCATGCCTATTAATAATACCTCTGCCATAGACGCATATATGAGGATGACAAATTTTAACACTCATAATTTAAATCATGTTTATTAGTAGGTAAAAAACACAAATATGTAGCGCCTTGACTTACACTTTAAAGTATATTACTCGCGTGAAGCAGCATATGCTTGACACCTGAACTTTATCGTGTGTTACAAATACACCGTGGAAACCCCCTCAATAATTCCCTATAATCTTATCTTCAGGTCATCAAATTCGCTTTTTAGGCACACCCGTGTTCTTTGTTGAGCGTCCTTTCTTTATGTGCATTACCAATATTGACGAGGACCCTTAGTATAGAGCATAAGAACGCTAAAGCTGTTTGATAAAACATTTCGATATCGTTCTTTTGTGCTGCAAATTAAACGGGACTGTAAACAACGGTCCCGGACCAGGATGCCCGTCATAAAACAACCCGGATGCCCAACACAATCCCGGATGCTGAGACACGGGTGTAGTTTTTGTGATGCGAATACAATGGAGAATATCAATACAAGTAGGGGTGTCATGACAAAAGAACATTGACAAAACATTATTCGGTAGTCTAGGACCCATGTTTGCCAGTCGTGACAGTACGGCGGCAACCTCTTTGCGTGTGATCACAGACTGTGGTGTGATTTTTGTTGTTCGCAGAGCTGACAGACTGTTGAGTCGGCTTTGTCGCAACACTATGATTTGTTTCTCGACTTTGGTACTAATTTGCCATTAGGCTGATTTAGCTCCGTGGAAATATCAATTACATTACAACACATATTCACTATTTGCCCTATTTACTCTCTTTTTAAGTATTTTGTTTTTTAACATTATTATTATATAAATACTGTTTAGATTTTTGGAAAATATATCCGTATTTGTTTCGTAGTTATTCACAGCGTCGATATTCCGTCACATGTTATACAATTTAGCTGTGAATATGGAATGGTAGCATCTTATTGAAATGCGAGTGTCTGTGTGCGTCAATTTTACTACAATGGTGCGGCTGTTGTCTGTCATACGAAGCAGTCGAGGTGTCTTTGTCGAAGTAGTCTCACCATTTATGTTATTTGAAAGCCGGGTGCACGTGAACACGTTTTCACACAGCCCCTCTATAATCTATGAGATGGGTCGTGGTTTGCAATCACTACATTTCTAAGGATGGTATACTAGTACATTTATAAACAAATCATACACTCATGGACTTTCACATATTACACTAGTAGATGGTATGTTGTAAATGAAGACCAAACATACACAATGAACTTCGACTAAAGGCGTCATAGTTCCTTGTGACCCACTTTTCAACGTGCGATATATAATATAGACGATATTGAAACTCAGCAACGCCATGTTTCTTATCGATGTTTACTTTACCACACATGTTTACAAGTGTTTGATTTATTTGTTATTCAATAAACACCCCAGTTATGATTGAATGCAAATATAGTAATACACGCTGTGTCTTTTTGAATGGCACCTAAACCCCATCTTCCGCCTGCACGGTGCTGTTCTGTGCTGTTCTGTTCTGCTGTTATAGTGGAATGCTTTGTCAGAACAATCACCTTGAAAATTCAAGTTGCTGCACCCCGACTAAGTAGAGTACGGTATACGGCATGGCAGCTCAGTGCAATAGTGCAGTGCAGTAATTTTCTGTATTTCCATATTTATAATACAAATCCTGATTGGTTCATGCATGGAACGTGGTTTATAGTTCCATGGTTCATGTAAGCAGATTGGACTTTGACAATCACAACATATTTCCATATCTCAAGTTGTCTTGAAGTATCGTTATGAATTACATGTATAACATTTATCGAATCTCATAAAAAATAGTAGTGGTTCAACTGCAGTGCAGTTTATTACACAGTATTCACATTATTTCACGACCATAATAAGTACAATTCATTTTAAGTAAAAACATCTCAGATGTTGCGGGACTGTGGGTAAAACAAGTAATTGTTTGTTTGATTACTGCAAACATTTGATAGTTGTTATAAAGACTATACGATGCATAATTAATTGTCGCGGAGTTCCAATTCGTGGTCAATACATTCTGTTTTAATAGTTATGTACATTTAATCAGTATCAGTGCTAAATACGAATTGTGTGATTCTTTCACTGTATTTGCATACTCCACGGTCACATGCCGTAATCATGGCTAAACACTCTGCACAGTAAATCTAATCATACTGTAAAGGGGGTAATTATTCACTGTGTTTTAATTTAGCTTATTTCGCTGAATGGAAAAATGCGCAAAATTAAAACACAGTGAATATGTAAAATTTAGCATAGAACACATTATCTAAATGACGAAACCGTGAATTTAAAACCCACTGAATATGCCTGAAATGGTAAATCAGTGAAATTTAAACCCAGTGAAAATTAGTCATTTTACAGTATTAACGAATTGCATTACAAAATATAATATTAATTTCGCTTTCGCTGTTGTTACTTACAGCTTGTACCGCTATTGCTAACTGTCAGCAGTTACATTGTACGTCATCAACGAATCAAGCATGTCATCGATGTAACTATGACAGAGGTGGAGATATTATTGCATATCAATTGCTAGATTACGGTGGATATCCAAACAGAATATGTGAACGTAAGTTTTCTTTTTATACTATGATAGTAATTTGAGGATATGTATATTGCCAACCAAAAGTCACTCGAAGATGGAAGATTTAATCTGTTCACTATACAATACGTCACAAACAGAATATATACTTGTATATAATATATAAGAGTTTACGACGTTGGTAGTCCATGTACTGGAACAATCATTATTTGTAAATGGCCGCCTCGGTCTCATTGAGAGTGAGAAAGCCACGTATTTTTGCCCCTAAAATAATGCTTCTAATGGTATTTCTGGCGCTCAAGTGTGATCCCGATTGTCATTTGTGAATGAGGTATACTGACCATATGCATGTACAATTACAGAGAGATGCTCCTGGCGTCCAGATAGCCAGTTTTGTTATCCAGGACAATGTACGACAACGCCCTCAACGTGTTCATGTGCACCAAACTTCAGTGGAAATAACTGCCTGCAAAGTAGGTGTATATATTTCATCACTAATTGTAAAATAATGAACAAAGTTTTGACAAAATATTTCACTATTTGCTTTTTTTGGAGTGTTTATTTTCTTTTCAAAATGTTCGGCTATTATCAGATACACTTTAAACTAGAATAGCAATATTGAATTTACATCTCTCTCCAAAATAGTAACATACATGTATCCTTGTTTTTCAGTGAATACATCTCCCGTCATGCAATACTGCTTAGGAACACTGATTCAGACGACAGGTGACTACAGAGCAGACGCCGAGTGTGACGATCACGTGACGGCACCTACAACTGTTTTTACAAATATCCAACCAGATCGTATCCAGGTTGAGTGGCATAACAGTTACACAGGTCCTAACGCCGCTGATTGGCCACAGCAGTTTTATGTGGAAGATTTCAAAGTTGGCGTAATTTCAGCATCCTATGATTGGTGGGTTATCAGAGGTAAGCGTTGCAGACAAGTTTTGTTTTATTACGTATATCGATTTTTTTGCACTCTTTGTACTCAACATTCAATATTTCCGGTGTTTTGTTCATCTAGGTGGAAATAATGTCAAAACTGGGACAGTCACATGCTCTATTGGATACAATCAAGACAATCCACACCAAGCCATGCACGACTGTGACGTCACGGGTGATATTGTGTTCACCTTTCAACATGGGGACAGGTACGACTACAAATAGAGATATAAACTTCGCTTCCATAAATCATGTTTTTAATATTGCATCTTGTGAACCATTGCATTTAATTTGAGGGTACATACAAATGATAACTCGCTTCACCAACCGCGTGACAGTACACTCGGTCGCGTTTAAAGGGCGGTGGTCGTCGTCACGCGTCCTGTTCGATATGGGACCCACAGCGACGTATACAAGGCGTGTAAAATAATTTGTTTACATGAAATTTAGACACGCGCCTTCATTTTGTCATTTTATTCATAATATAATCTTCTCGGAATGGGTTTTGACAGGTTTTACTTCACAGCAAAGGCTCGCAATGGTGGTTACATTACTATAAGAAATTATGATGCAACCTCTGGTTACACGATTAATCCCAAGAATTACTACACAGGAATTGATGTAGCACACACTGCAGACTTTACCCTGGATTATCAGCCTCCAGCACATTGTACAGTTACGGGAAGTTGCTCTGATAATATGCTTGATAGGGGACCAGCGATAACTAAAATTGTAAGTCGACTCTGAGAATGTATTTACATATAACATTTAACAGAACGTAATGATTATTATCACTTTGTTTATATGCAGATAACCTCCTCCTGATTATTGTGATCACCATGAAACGCAATAAAGATTGATCTCTTAAAAAGCTACAAATAATAGAAATGTGCTCTCGTGTGAAGTGATTTCAATATTCATCAATGAACAACTAAACTATTATAGATCGGACAACTTGATAAATATGCTAGTTAGTTAAAGTAAGCTGATTAACATATGCAGAATAATTCCAAAGAAGTATTAGGTATTCAACTAAACGGTGTTCTTGTACCAAGTTGTTAACAAACATGTTGAAAGTAATTGCTTAATATGTAAATTACCTAGTTATTATGCAAGGATTTGTACTAAAAAATGGCCAGGTCTTTAGTTCATCGTTAAAGTGTGTCAAGTATCATTCCAATTTATCGAATGCTTCTTAAAGTAATTGTGGAACAAAAGTGTACACATCCATTCAGAAATCTGACAAAGACATTTTCATGGCTTTCTAAGTTCCGTTTGTGCATAAGGGAGCTAAACACGAAATTAAACCAATGTAGATTTTGTTTTACTATCGAATACCCAGTCTCCCCCAAACCACGATCCAATTTTTACCTAATATTTCTGCAGGGTGATATAACTGTGCAATATAATGGTTGGCATGACGACCTTTCTGGTATACTACGATATGAATATGAAGTATACAAGATGCAAGCTTATGGTGATGTATTGGGATATAGGTCAATATCACCTGTACTGAGTGGACAAGTAGATCTACCAGCTACACAGTTTAGTATCATATTAAGTGACCCAGGTATAGTAGATCTACCATTTACATCGTTCACTATCTCGTTAAATGACTCGGATATATTAGATCTATCATTTACATCGTTCACTATCTAATTAAGTGACCCAGGTATAGTAGATCTGCCATCTGCACAGTTCACTATCTCATTAAGTAACCCAGGTATAGTCGATCTACCAGCTACACACGTGCAATACAATTACATCCCATAGAACTGATAAATTCAACATATTAAATAAATAAATTAACATATCCTTACATTCCAGGAGTATATTGTGTCATGCTGACTGTTGATGACGTAGCTGGTAATCATAATAGAGCCAGGCGATTCCTAATATTTGATGATGTCAACGGAGTTAATACAACAGACCAGTTCCCTATCTGGGTTGACTCTGCAGCGGAAAATACAACCCACCTTTGGCAAACTGATCTTCAAGACCCCAGTAATACTGGGCCACAGGTAAGTCAGTCGTGTGCATTATATAATGTTGATAGACATCAGCGAACATTTTATACTTTCACGGGAAGCCATTAGTTATATCAAAGTCGAATGGAATAATAACTGTGTGAATGTACTCTTCAAACAATGTTGAAGCGATGATGAGAGCGCCACGACCGTCGGGCGATAACGCAATTAAATTATATGCGTATTATATGTGGCACAGAAACACTCAACTCATCGGTTACACAACCTCACAGGACACTCCGATTGTAAAATTTTTATGTAGTTTGAATGTGAAATACGTCATCCTTTTTTCTTGTTGAGAAAAAAAACATTTCTTAACTAGTGGCACATACTTTGATCCCCTCACAGGTAGTAATGCAATGGCCAGGACACTTCTATAACTGGTTCCACAGGGAACATAAATTCCTGAATGCCATTGAAGATAATTCACCTCCATTGACGTCAGATTATGAAGAAGTCACAGGTCAACCTCCAACTACCAGATCACGTGAGGCAATACCAAATATCAATGCAATCGTGCGTTTCGAAGTAAATTACGGCATAGACCACCAGGGAGGGCGCACTATCACTTCTCCTACTGGTAACTGGCAAGACGTCGATGATATTTTGGTGAGTAAGAATGTTTATTAGGAACTTAGAATGAGGAATTCTTTAATTTTCATATTTATTTTTTCTTTGGAAACAAATTAACCCGATCTCGACCCGGGCTAGTTTAGCTCGGAGACAATGGGCTGGTTTCGACCCCGAGGTCCCGAGGTTGAACCACGCCCTCTAACGGCACGAGTGACATCGACTCATTATCACTACAAAAAGGCCTACAAGCATCTCGTGATTATGACTTATAATACATTATTAATTTCTCTTGGAAAAATAGAGTATTTTGAATTTGACAGACAGGACGTCAACAAGATGTGGGTCGTAATGTTGACAATGGCGCGTGATGAAGGGGCGTTTTTCGTTTGTATACTTCTATCATATGTTTCACATTCTAATTAGGTGACCAGTATCCAGCTTATGTGTATGACTAATGTGTATGCATAAGTTGACCCTTTGGTGTGATTTTTTTCAATTCTATGCTGTGATCGGCCCAATCTATGTAATGATACCCGCATTCTGCACTACAATCTGCCCACCATTACATATACAGGGCTAGCCATGTGTACTTCATTTAAGTTAATACCTATTATCGGATTTCATCAAGCTGTGAATAATCTCAAACACATTTGCCTTTTCTCTGTCTTCAGGTGGAGCAACAGGGATTCGACATACCACGCAACGATGGCGATTCCATTCATTTATGGGTGAGAGCTACAGACGTGATGGGCAATACAAACCAGGATGATGTACTGATTCACGTGGATTCATCGCCACCAGAAATCCATCATATATCGTTAATGAGACATGGACAGACACAACTAGCAGTGCACAATTCTGTTGACCTGTATGATATGAGGTTGGTAAAATGCATGATGTACTCATTTATAGAATTTCTCAAATGATTGTTGGTTAACTGTGAGCAAATAATTCACAAAGAATCCTGAAAACTTTTGTGGGGTCACTAGCAAAAATACTTTCACACACTATCTCAAAATTATACCAAGGTACTGTTACGGGCGTAGTCAAAGATGGCCACCAGCAATTACCACAACAGATTACGACTTTTATACAGTTTGATATTGTAAAATCCATAAACATCAACATAATTAAACAACATAAATATTTCTACAGATTTTACCAATCTAAAAAAAACTTGTTCATTTTTTGATCGGACATTTCTAGAGGATCGTGTGTCAAAGACATGTCGGGCATACTTCATCAATGACTGGTCACAATTTAGTTTTATTCTTTTACACTTGACATATCATTGTTCTAAAATATACAAATGTAATGCCTGTTATCGGGCTATGCTACGAATATGTATGATCTTGTTTCTTATTGCTTCCTGAACAGGGTTGTTTTCCAAACGTATGACGATCACAGCGGGTTACATAACATACACTGGAAACTAGCAGACATGGCAGACGGTAACGTGGTTCATGGTGAAGGTCAAGTTGCTGTCAGAAGACCAATAGTAAGTGTATTTGATGTTGAAATGTAACGAATGATTTTGATTAATTTTCGACGCATCTCCGTAATGTTTCGAATTACCTTAAAGTGTTTCAAACAAAAATATTATGTATTCACGCGTGATTTTGAAGCATTGTGGGAAATTGCGGAATAATAAAAAGATACTGTGCGTTATGCATGATGGTAACTATAGTATATGACGTCATTTGTTTTCAAGGTTGGCAATACTACATGTGACCCTCCGAACTGCGGATGTATACAAAAAAACAACGAATGTTACTACAGAGATTATGCAATTGAACTTGATGCCAATAAATTAAATCTATCAACTGGAAACCACGACCATGATTATATATTCACAATCACAGTAACAAACAACGCCATGCTTGTGGATGTAAAGACCTTCCAGGTAAAGTGTCGTAGCGGTCTGTAAGAATGTAGTTGTTATCATTGTTAAATTATACAATCATTGTTTCGTGTTGTGTTCGTCATGCACACACGAATCACATTAATATGATACTCAACTGGCGATAGTTATTTCCATATTATTATATCACGATTGTTTGGCGATTTTATCGAATTGTTGCAGAGTGCATCACTGGGATTATTTTAAACATTTCACTATTCACAGTCGCGCATTCGATAGCATGACATCAAACGTATTAGTTTGGCAGTCAATACCAATTGTGGAACTTGTAAATGATGTAATATCGGGGTATGTAATTATTACCTATTATAAAATATACTATAATGGAGTTTTACATCCTAATTCTTTCAATACCACACTGATAATATAGATTATATATGCATCACATACACTAGGTTACGGTTGACACAAGTCCGCCACATGAGGGCACTGTACATGATAGCCGGACAGGAGAAACGGACTTGGACTATCAACAGGACATTCAAATATTCGCATCCTGGGATGGATTTTTTGACAGAGAAAGTGGGATACTCTTTTATGTTTACATCTTTGGCGAAAGTTGTTCAGAAATGCAAGATGGTACATTTGATATTCCAATAACAGAGCCGGTACGTGAAACAAACTAGTTTATTTATAACTTGTCTTTGAATTTCACATGGTAAACCATCGAACTTATCTTATATTATTTTTTCTTTGTTAGGCTATAAACACAACTTCAACGTATGCAGAATGGACAGCCCCAGATATAGGAACGTATCATTGTACTGTAGTTGCATATAATCGAGCATTAGAACCATCAAATCCAGTTTGTTCTGATGGTATCACCATTGATACTTCACCACCAACACTCAGTGAAATTGTCATAGATGATGCTATTATAAAAGCTGGTGTGATCAAGGACGGTGATGGTAACGTGTGGATGGTGAATACTACTAGATATCGCCACCAAGTAGTTAATGTTTCAGACGAATGCAGGTATATGAACAATTCTCTTGTTGTCTTAAATCCTGATTTCATTCCTCTTATTTGAAAAAGGAAACACCTCAACGCTTGTTATTGC